ACAATGGGGTGCAGGGGATGCCAGGACTGTATACAGTACAATAAAGCACACAATGGTGTGCAGGGGATGCCAGGACTGTATACAGTACAATAAAGCACACAATGGGGTGCAGGGGATGCCAGGACTGTATACGGTACAATAAAGCAGACAATGGGGTGCAGGGGATGCCAGGACTGTGTATGGTACAATAAAGCAGACAATGGGATGCAGGGGATGCCAGGACTTTGTATTGTACAATAAAGCACACAATGGGGTGCAGGGGATGCCAGGACTGTATATCGTACAATATAGGAGACAATGGGGTGCAGGGGATGCCAGGACTGTATACAGTACAATAAAGCACACAATGGGGTGCAGGGGATGCCAGGACTGTATACGGTACAATAAAGCAGACAATGGGGTGCAGGGGATGCCAGGACTGTGTATGGTACAATAAAGCAGACAATGGGATGCAGGGGATGCCAGGACTTTGTATTGTACAATAAAGCACACAATGGGGTGCAGGGGATGCCAGGACTGTATATCGTACAATATAGGAGACAATTGGGTGCAGAGGATACCAGGACTGTAAATGGTACAATAAAGCAAACAATGGGGTGCAGGGGATACCAGGACTGTATACAGTACAATAAAGCACACAATGTGGTGCAGGGGATGCCAGGACTGTATCCTATACAATATTGGAGACAATTGGGTGCAGAGGATACCAGGACTGTATATGATACAATAAAGCAGACATTGGGGTGCAGGGGATACCAGGACTGTATCCTGTACAATATTAGGGAGAAAATGGGGTGCAGGGGATACCAGGATTGTATATGGTACAGTAAAGCAGACAATGTGGTGCAGAGGATGCCAAGACTGTATACTGTACAATATAGGTGACAATGAGGTGCAGGGGATGCCATGACTGTATACAGTACAATAAAGCACACAATGGGGTGCAGGGGATACCAGGATTGTATATGGTACAGTAAAGCAGACAATGTGGTGCAGAGGATGCCAAGACTGTACACTGTACAATATAGGTGACAATGGGGTGCAGGGGATATCAGGACTGTAAACTGTATAATAAAAGATACAACAGGGTGCAGGGGCACAGGTCTCTATACGGTATCCTATAAAATCAGGGAGATATTGGGGTGTAGGGGATGCCTGTATTGAATGCTGTATTCTGTACAATGAGGGATATAATGGGGTACAGGAGATTCATGTATTGTATACTGTATTCTGTACAATGAGGGATATAATGGGGTACAGGAGATTCATGTATTGTATACTGTATTCTGTACAATGAGGGAGATATTGGGGTGTAGGGGATGCCAGTTTTGAATGCTGTATTCTGTACAATGAGGGAGATATTGGGGTGTAGGGGATGCCTGTATTGAATGCTGTATTCTGTACAATGAGGGAGATATTGGGGTGTAGGGGATGCCTGTATTGAATGCTGTATTCTGTACAATGAGAACTCTTGTAACATGTAACATGAGAACCCTTTTGCACCCAGCGGGAATACGGAGCAGAGCAGCGACGTCCATCACATACCATAGAGCAGACATTCTCTGGAGAGGTCCAGCGCCTGAGATACATTTCCCGCCTGGAAGAAATACACAGAGATCACTCACACTTCAAACAGACCAATATCACCTTCACTATTTGCTTTACCTCCTCCTGTGGGTGTCTATATGCCCCGTCCCCCCATATGGGCTACAGGCCGCATGCGATGCGTATGGAGGAACCATTGTACTGCGTTCCATTGTATTCTAATAACTGCTTCATACATACAGTATAACCCATGGGCCTGTGCTACTCTGACATGTATTGGTCTTGCATTAACACTGTATCCTTGTACCCGACCTGTACTCTACTGCTACTATTTATTATTAAAACATGTGCTGAATAAAATCTATAATACAGGGTACACAAAGGCAGAACTCTGTGCGTTTTATACATCGAGAGTACAGCAGGAGCCGTTTGCCTTCGGACTCTTTTTCTCTCCGATGTATAATACATCCTACTGAAGACATCTGATCGTCCTACAGGCCGGAAACTTCTGTGTGCAGTTTATAATGAATGGCTCTATAATACTGGGCTGAAAATCTGTGTAATCTTGAGCTACAGAGCTATGTGAACAAAACTTTTTTAGCAAAGCAGCTAAGATCAGGTTGGTGAACATGTGAAACAGAGAATGGAGCTCCGCCAAATGGCTAGATATGAAATGTTGCATACAAATATTTTGTATTTTCATATTTACCTGATTTAGAATTATTATTATTAATATTATTATCATCATAATATACTAAAAATATATATTAA